TATAGCACTTATTCAGTAGCGATTTGATTCTTCCTATTTCATGGCATCTGGCTTGTCACAGATTAGGTTCTTACGACAGTTTACACTTTCTATTCTACTGATCAATGTTTAAATTTTTTAGACAATATTTGTTCAAATGTTCATCAATTTCACCAGCTTTTACTGAGTGTTTGTCGGGTGCCATGTGTCGGGTGCCGTGTGGGAATACTGTGATGAATATAAGGTGGAAAGACATGGTTTATGACTAAAGGAAGCTCACAGTGTACAGGCACAGGAATGAAACTAGTATTTCTTTTCCTTAAGACAGATGAGCGGGGCTGAAGAAAAACTTATAAACACATGTGACCTGAATGTGTAAGACAACGTGATCATTATTTATACTTCCTGTATGAATCAAATGTTACGCTTGCACAGCAGGGGAACCAGGTAACCCTTCTCAGAGGGCATAAAAATGGGTCTGAAAAGTCAGAGGGGTTTTAAACATGAAGTTGGAGTTTTCCAGATGGAGAAAGGGGAGGTGAAGCAATCTGAGGAGGCAGAACAGCACACACCAAGGCAGGAAGGAATGAGGAACTTGATGTGTTCAGGGCACTAGTCTGGGTGGATCTGCAAGTTAAGTGCGGGAGTTGCCATGAGAAAAGTGGTGGGGAAGGCAGGTCGGGATTGCAAAGAACTTTGAAGACCACACCATGCATCTTGGACTTTCTATGGCAGGCATTAGATTCTGGTGGAGGTTTTTAACTAAGAGACACATGATGAGGGTTGTATTTCAGAAACATCACTTAGTGGACAATAATGAGAAGGAGAAGCAGGATGTGGGGAAGTTTGGGGGCAGGAGAATTTAACAAGAGCCTGGGTGTAGATGGTGAGGGTCTATACTAAGGCAAAGCAGCAAGGACGGAGGAGAAGGAGTGATCAATAGCTATGATATTTCTCAACGGGGAGGCTGGGTAGCAACCACTGCAGTGATTAAACGTGGCAAGCTGGCTGTAAGTCTCTTCTGAAAACCCAGAGAGAAGACAGAAAGGGAATGAAATAGGTATAAATCCACAGACACAGGAGAATGAGAGAGGAAAGATAAAACAGGTCTTGGAAGATGAAAAGGTGGCAGAGGAGCAGTAACAGACTGGGTTGAGCAGCGGGGACGAACTCTAGAGCCTGCAGGTGAGGTGCTGGTCAGAAGCAGCCCAATGCACCCCGCAGACTCCAGCAAAGGTCAGGACTGGGAAGTACCATGTCCCTGGGAAGAGATAACCCCCCAGGGGGTTAGTCGTTAAACTATTTATGAAACAGCTGGGCCCTCGCTGTTTAGTTCAGCGGTCAGAGTGTTAGCTTGCAGACTGAAGGGTCGCTGGTTCGATTCCAGTCAAGGGCATGGACCTCAATTGTAGGCCTGATCCCTGGCCCTATTCCAGGTGAGGTGTGTGCAAGGAGGCAACCAATTGAGCAGGTGGCAACCAATCGATGTGTCTCTCTCACATTCATGTTTCTCTCCATCTCTCCCCCTCCCTTCCGTTCTCTCTTAAAAAAAAAAAAAAAATCAATGGGAAAAATATCCTCGGGTGAGGATTAACAACAGCAAAAAGAAACGGTCCTCTGGCCAGTGGCGACAATTCCTTTTTTGCCCAATTTCTTTCCCAGGGGGGATTTCCTCCAAAGAAATAAAACCACAGAGTGCCACACGCAGGACACTAGGCGCAGCAAGAAGTTGGGAAGTTGAGCTAGAAACTGGGGAATTAAATGAAAGCTCATATCCTAAACAGTGGGGAGCTCCCAACTCCCTGACCTTACCTTGCTCGCTGACTGCAAGCAGCCATCGGGGTGACCCCCAGGCAAGAGATGAAGTGACTCTTCTGCGGAGGAACTGAGGAACCCCTTGAAAGTCTCTAGAAGATGGTACAGGTGGGTCCTCAGTGAAGAAGCGGTTTACTCCCTACTCATTCTACAGCGAGCCTCCCAAGGAGCAAGCCCTGCCCATGTGCTTTTTAGGGCTTCACTTCTAAGTATGAAAAGAAATTAAAAGTTCAACAGACATGTTAGCGAACCGTCTTATGAGAGAGAGAGAGAGAGAGAGAGAGAGAGAGAGAGAGAGAGAGAGAGAGAGAGAGAGAGAGAGAGAGAGAGAGAGAGCCAAAGAGAAAAGGCTCTAGAGAACACAGGACAGACAGTAAAAGGAGCAGAAAAGACTTTAAAGGGAGAATAAGTAATATTACCAGAAAGATAAGATAAACCATGTTACCCAAGAAACAAGAATAAAATGATGTTAAAATTTTTTTTTTTTTTTTTTTAAGGGATAAGGACGAATTAGGTTACACCCAAGAGCTCTTGGTAATTGAAAACAGGACAATTGTGGCACAGCCCGAAGGTTGCCACCCAATCTCCTCTTCTTCCTTAGGAAGATGACTACACAATGCCATGTGAAGCAGCAATGACCAGCCAAAAAAGAAATTTCCCAGCCTCCCCTCTGAGAACAGCTGGGAAGGCTACTGAGTCAAGCACAGGGCTAGGCGGCCAGAGACAACACTCACAATTATACATCAGAGCAGCCTAAAGGACCATCACTGCTGCAGGCCCCAAGGTCTAGACAGTGCAGTCTGCTGCCCATGGACCCTGAAAGCCCTGGATGCCGGAAGCAGGAATGTAGGCATCCTGCAGCTACCATCATGCTTCCAGAGAGTTCCTCCAAGTCCCCATTTCTTTGCGTTTCCAGTTCCCATGATAAGGAGGGCTTATCCGATTAGCAGAGTTTGGGTCTTGTGCCTGAACTTTGGCTGCAGGAGAGGTTGGAAAACTGATATCTGACATTTTGTTTTGAGTGTGAAAGGCTTGCTTTGCCTCCCACCAAGACGCATAACATTGGAAATTCTTCAAACACAGGGAGGTCACTCAGTGCTGGGCAGGCAAAATAAATAAATAAATAAAAAGAAAGAAAGAGGAGGAGGAGGAGGAGGAGGAGGAGCAGAAGGAGGAGGAGGAGGAAGAACAAAAGTCTACTATAATATTGTATCTAAGAAATCTCTGTATCCTGGATCCAAGACGGCAGTCAGTCCAGAGCAGAACAGTAGAGCAGCCGTGGGCCAGAGGAGAACACAGATGGGTATGACAGATTTCTGAAAAATTTGAGCATTTGGAAAATAACATGGAGAGGCATTTGATATATCTGCCAGAGCATTTAGAGAATAATTGATGACCCAAAAAAAGCAAATTTAAAAAATGCAATTATTAACTCTAGGAAACAGAAAATGTTGGACAAAAAAGGAAATGGAATTATAGTAGAGTATATGGCTCAGAGTTAAGCAATATTTACTTAATTATAATATAAATACTAGATATTAAGCTAATCAAAACAGTGACATAATTACACGGGGGCACTGAATGAGACGTCAGAGTGGTATACATGAGTTAAATCTTCATTTACCATAACGGGAAGTCAAAAGATGATATCTGAAACTGACTTATCAAGAAGTAGTAATAGCCCTGGCCAGGTGGCCTAGTTGGTTGAGCAAGATCCTGTACACCAAAAAGATTGTGGATTTGATTCCCCAGGGCACATACCTAGGTTGTGGGCACAATTCCCAGTCGAGGCGCACACAGGAGGCAACCGATAGATTTTTTTTCTCTCTCTCTCTCACTCTCTATAAAATCAACAAAAAACATATCTTCCCATGAGAATTTTTTTTTAAACTAACAATACAAATATATTATTTTGTAACATTAAGGTTAACAAAAGAAGCACCTTTTTGGCTGAAAGTGGGATTTTCCAGGATAAGACCAGGGGATGGAGAAGGATAGGGGGGACAGTACAGAAGAGAGGAAACTATTTTTCATTATATGACTTTTAATCCCACTTGACTTATTAAACGATATTATTTTTAAAATTTTAATAATGTTCCTACCTCACCCCAATGTGGAGGTAAGGAAGAGAAGTAGGTGTATGGGAGGATGTAAGGCATTTCTTTGTAGACATCTCCTTCTATGTCCCAGGTTTGCTCCTTTCTGCCCACTGGGCTATCCAGGTCTCAGGGGCAGGGCAAGGAAAGGGAAGCATTCGGCTTCAAATCCAGGCACACCTGGGTGCCACATTCCAGCTGTGCAAAACATCAGCTCTGAGACTCCTCTCTGACTCCCTGGGCCTCCAGGTCTTCCTGGGTGAAATGGAAAATGCTAATATCTATTCTTTTATTATTATTATTGATATATTTTTTTTTTTTACAGAGAGGAAGGGAGAGGGATGGAGAGTTAGAAACATCAATGAGAGAGAAACATTGATCATTTGCTTCCTGCACACCCTCTTCTGGGGATGTGCCCACAACCAAGATACATGCCCTTGACTGGAATCGAACCTGGGACCCTTCAGTCCGCAGGCCAGTGCTCTATCCACTGAGCCAAATCGGTCAGGGCAGTTAATATCTATTCTAACATACAATAACACTTGTCAAGTACCTAAAATCCGGAAGACTCAAAAAGTACGCATTGTCACTCAGAATTTCTCAGGCTCGGTAAGCCTCTCTTGGGGAGTCTCTCTCGGTGTCTCTATGTTTGCAGATGTGAGAAAGCAAGAAAAGCTGTGCTCTTTCGCCGCCTTCTTCATCCCTCTTGCCCGTTTGGGGATATTTATCTTCCACAGACAAAACACACGAGTTTTGGCCAGGCAGTTTGTCATAACACATTCCCACTGCTCTTGGAAAAAAGAAATCGGTTTCATTCACGTTGGCCTTATACTTTGGCTAATTTTCGAGTAAAATAAAATTGATATTCAATGACTAGCCAAGGCTCCCTCCCACATATAGACAGGCGTAGGTAGAAGTTTCCGTCTAAAATCCACAGAGTAGAATTACAAATTCGGCTGATACTTGCATAGACCTTTTAAAATAAATACAAAATACAATTAACAAATATGTTAAAGTGAGCTGGCTAAAGAGGGTTGTGATAGCCGGTAGGTGAGGCAACCAGTAGTCACCCCCAATTAGGAGGCCCCAGGATGATTTCAAGGCGCTCACCTTCTCCATTGGGCCTTGGCTGGCTACCCAGCTCAGGGACAAGTTGTTCTCCGTGTGCTCCCGCAGGCTGAGCTCTTTCACTCCGGGCACTCTGCTTGTTCCAGCGGGACTCCTGCCCCGCCCAGACGGCAGTGGGCAATCTGTCAGGGCCTTCTGCAGGGAAGGAGGTTGGCGACTTGAGGTCCAAGAGAAAGCTATCTTGCAGGGTTTGCTTGGTGGCCTTCTTGCACTTCCCCCTCGGATGCTCTGGGATCCTGTTGCTCTCTCCTGGCCTGGTCTGGCTGCCCTCCAGCTTCCTGGTTAGCTGCAGGAGCTGATCCATGTCTTTGGTGAATTCTAGCAGAGTGCCCTCAGAGAGGCTGCAGGCAGTGCCCTCAGAGCCATACCCGGAAGCCTTTTCCAGCAGCAGGCGCTCAGAGCAGAGGTGAGCTTCTGCGCCCTCCCTGTGCCCTGGCTCAGGCACCTGGGGGTGGCTGCAGGGAACCATGGACAAGGAGAAGTAAGAGTAATCCACCGCGATGTATGTCAGCATGAAGTTAATGGTGACAATGGGAGCTAGAACATTCACCTGACCCACAAGGACAAAGGCCATGGTCACCAAACTGGTCAGGCAGATGGCAGCTATCGGGGTTTTATTTGGCCCTTTCTGCAAAATAAAAAAAAATAAAAAAACAAATAAATAAATAACATGCAGGCCTATGACATTTCGGAAGAAAATCCCATTATATGATAGAAACACATTTCGTAAAGGCTCTACCACTTCTCCCATGTGACCCTCGGTGCGTTAATAACTGTTCATCTACAAGCCTGGGATAATATCCAATCCATGGAATTATTGTAGGGTCAGAGCTAATGCAGATAAAATGTTTGACATGGCACTGATACATAGTAGGTTCCTAACACAGCCTGGGTATTTATGGTAGCTATTAATTGGGGCATTAGTCTAGAACTTGGACTTCCCAAGTATTTCTCCTTTTGTCTTTCATCAGGTTCTAACACCAACTTTGGAAATCAAAGAGATGGAAAGTTGATTGTTTCCAGACTACAGTGGAGAAAATGACTCCTGGGGAGTGGCAGACCCTAGAAGACATAGCAGAATCACTGGCAGCTGAGGCCAACACATCTGTTATTAATGGAGGTGGGTAGGGTGACCTTCAGGACAGGAGTGGAAAATATGTGCTAACTCCATATTATCTGTTGCTCCGCAGGAGATATTCATCACAGAACTGACATAGTTCTTGGGCCAAAAACAATAGTTCTTCTCAGTCCTCATCTTCCTTGACCTAAGAACTATATTCAATCCAGCTGGTCACTCTCTGGTCTTTGAAAGACTTTCTTCATCTCACTTCTCTTAATTCATCTCCCTCCTCACTGACCTCTCCTTCTGTCTCCACGGCTGCTCCTCCAGGCCCCATCCTCAGACCCCTTCTCTTGTCTATCTACACTCTCTTCCTAAGTCATCTCAACAGGGCTCGTGGCTTTAAATCCAGCTTTATACTCTCAACTCCAAATTTGAATCTCTAGCCTGAAATGTTCCCCTAAATCTAGACTTAAATATTCAACTGTCTACTCAACATTTCCAGCTGATGTCTAACAGGATTTCAAACCTAATATGCCCACAATCATATTGTTGTCCCCACACCCCTCACCCCCAATCTCCTGCCACTCAAATCTATTCCTTCTGCAGTCTCTATCTCAGAAAATGGCAATTCCATCTTTCCAGTTGCTCAGTCAAGGAAAATTCTTGAAGCCTCTTCTCATTTTCCGTCAACAAATATTATAAAGATTTACCCTCAGGATTTATACAGGATCTAACTACTGCTCTCCCCTCCTTTACTGACAGCACTCTGGAATGTGAAGGGCAGGCCTATAATCCACTTCCGGGTCGACCTGGAAACCTCTCACATGTTCCTCCAGGTGTGTTCCCCTGATTGAGGGCTCGGATAGACGGTGACCTTGTAAGTCACAGGATGAAGATGGCAAGGTCACCATCAGCCTGAATCTCTGAGGACAGAGCCCCTGTTGACCTGAAATACCCTCCCTACCACTTTAGAGTAAAATTCTAAATAAAAATTTTTTTTTTAAAAAGGAAGAAGAGTAAAAATATACTTTTATTTGTTTTTAAAATTATGTTTTTGGTACACCTACAATTGTTTAGCATATTCTAACAATAAAACCACTAAGAATAAAGTAAATCATCATAAATTAAAAAAAAAAAAAAAACTTAAAAGGAGAGTCTTGGATGTGCTGACGGAAATGCTAGCGATCCAGGTCAGGACTTGGATAAGGTGAGTTGTAAAGAGACAAAATAGTCAAACTTCTGTTCACCAAAAGTCACCATAACCAAATGAAAAGACAAGCCGTGGAATAGGAAAAGATATTTGTAAAACTTACAGAAGTGAGAAAAAGTAGTTTACAGTTGTACTACAAATAAACAATACAATAATTAATAAATAAACTCTGCTTTGCACACTCATAACTGTAGACCTACTTTTGCTCACCTCGTGTAACTGACAAAGGGTCAGCCAGAATATTCCAAAACTATCCCCACAAAATAATTAGAAAAAGACAAGACAATCCAATTTAAAAAAAAAAAAAAGCAAAAAAAATTTCATTAAACATATTAAAGATGCCCAATCGCACTATGTTATCAGGAAAATGCAAATTAAAACTATAGTGAGATACCATTAAACACCCACTGAATTGGCAAAAATTATCTGATAATATTAATAATACAGAGAAACTAAATCAATTAAGGTTTGTCTGATAATGGCAGGAATGCAGAGAAGAGGGAACGCTAACAAACAACTCCCTTGGAAAAAGCCTCGGTGTTCTCTTGTAAGAGAAGGTACACACGCCTTCCAGCTTAGCAATTGCTGTGTGCCTGCCCGTCAGTACAAGGAGGCTCACTGCACTGTCTGTAATGGTCCCAACTGCAATGACCTCACCGTCCATCAATAGCAGAATCGATAGATGGTAGCAAATGAGGAAATGCTATATAGAGATAATGAGCCAAAAGGTGGATGAATCTCAAAAACATAATGTGGAGTGAAAGAAGCATGCCACGTTAATATAAAGTTTTTAAAAAAAGACAAAATTAAATTATTTTCTTTGGTGATACATATGGAGTAAACCAGGAGCTGGCCAACTACGACCCCTGGGCCATATCTGGCCCCCGTCTGTTTACGCATGCCCAAGAGCTAAGAATGGTTGTATAGTTTTAAACATCTGAGGATGGGGGATCAAAAGAAGAGTAATATTTTATGATGCATGGAACTTACATGAAAGTCAAATTTCAGTGTCCCATCAATGAAGTTTTATTGAAATACAGTCTCTCCCCATTGGTGTTATCTGTGCTAACTTTTGAGCTACAATGGCAAAATGACAAGAGATTGCAGGACCTGAAAAATCTAAAATATTTAGTATTTGGCACTTTCTAAAAAAAACTTTGTCAACTTCTGGGCAAAACTACAAAGAAAGAAAAGAGAATTATTATCACAGAAGGCAGGACAGTGGCTGCCACAGAGAGAGGTCAGGGCTCGGACCAGGGGGCGTGTGGAGGGTGGGTGTCCGTAGACTGGCAGGATTCTTGGGTGGAAGTGACAAAGATGTTCACATCACAGTTAGTCTTAAACTGTTCGTACTGGTTTTATGACCTTTTCTGTATATTGTATAAATCCCAAATTTTTTTTAAACGTTTCTTCTCTTCGCCATAAAAAAATGCCAATAAAATTTAATCATATATAAAGAAGCTTTGAAAAATGACAAATTAGAGAAAATATTTGTAATGTATATCACAAAAATCAATCTCCTTAACAAAGAATAAGCTTCTAACAATTAGGAAGAAAAGAGCAACAATCACTGGGGGGAAAAAATACAAATGACTCTGATGAAAAGATGTTCAACCTCATTCATAATAAGAATAATACAAACCACAAGTATCCTAAGATGCCATTTCTCACTACTCCACTGGCAAAAATTCACATTTGACAATGAACTGTGGACAGGTTTGTTGCGAATACTGTGGTGCCTAAGGCAAGAGTGCAAATGGCAGTCCACACACCATATGTCTAAATATTTATAATTATAAACCAAGATATCAAACTGTCAGATCACATCTGTCCTACCCTTTCCTTGGCAAACACACCTTCAGAGCAATGGGGAAGGCTGGTTTAGAATTCCCACAGAGTTCCTAACTGGAGGGGGTCCATGCATAGCCTCCAGCTCACAGCCCAGAGCCTCCCCTTCCCAGACCACACTGCGAAGGACTCATAACCATGTGTGGACTTTGGCCACACCCTGGCCCTAGAGAGGACAGGCCCAGGGAAGAGGCCCTTACAGACCCTGGATGTGGGCTTGGGGCCATATGGGCAGGCAATTCCAAGGTGCAATATAAGAAGTGCCAATGAACTTGGCCTCATGAACATCTAAAGACCAGAACACGGTCCTGTAAAGCAAGGCTTGGCCAAGTCTAAGAGTGGTGGTGCTGGCTGTGGGGAAACTGAACTCTCATAGATTGCTGGTAGAAGTACAAAATAGCAAATCTCATGGGGGGTGTTTTGGCAATACCTATTAAAATTAAAAACGCATTTACCCTTGGACCCAGCAAACCCACTCACACAAATGTATCCTATAGATACATTGACATATATACAAAATTATACACACCCATGCAGACTATTCTTTGTAGCTCTGTTACTGGAAGCAATATGACCATTAGTTCATAGGGAGCTGGTTAAACAGACTATAGTATATCCACATGATTTAAAGAGAGAGAGAGAGAGAGAGAGAGAGAGAGAGAGAGAGAGAGAGAGAGAGAGAGAGAGAGAGAAAGAAAATCCTCTCTACATCCATATGCAAAGACAGACTTCTAAGCTATATTAAATGAAGAAAAGCAAGGCATATAACAACTTGTGTCAAACTCTATCCTTGTATAAAAATAGAGGAGAGAAAGATTCATTAAAAAAAAAAAACACTAATAAAACAGCTATGGATAAGGCATGGGTGCAGTTGGGGCAGAAAAAAAAAGAATCATAATAGGAAAAAAAATTTCTCAGTGTATACCTTTTATATCACTTTTAGTTTTGAACCCTGTGAATATATATTGCCTAACAAAGTAAGCAAAATTGAAATAAAATCAGAAACATATACCACCTGGAAGGTACAGAGATGACGGTCATTACTTCTACCCAGACTCCCCTGACTGATGCACAAGAAGTGGAGGAAGGTAAAGGAAAGAATTAGGGACTTGCAACCACGTGGCCCTAACCCATCTGATGGGCCTAGCTTAGGTTACATCCCCTACCAGGACCCCAGAGGGAGGCTCAGGATGGGAAAGGGGTTGGGGAGGGCATGGGGAGGGTATGGTGCTCCAACAAGACAGATATGAACTACAGCCTGCAAACCACATTACTGAGAAGTGGGGTTCTCTCTGTTTCTGTCTATCTTGTCATCTCCTCAGTTTTAGAAATGTCTCATTTGATCATTCTGTGACCCAACCAAGCTATACTGAATCAGTTAAGATTTGAACCATGATAATTAAGAGGGAACCCAGAGGTTAGAAGTAACGGGAAGGTGAATTCAAGGACAGATTTAAAGTCATAGGACCAACATCCCTCCTTACCAAGAGATTCTTCCTTTCATGCTAAACTTGGAGGACCCTGAATTTATTGTTATTAAAGGATGTGGCACTCCCGGTCCCTCTGTGCAAGGTCCAAGAAGTTTCTGTGACAGTTAGCAATCCCACTGCTAGCAGTCCTGAGTGGCTGTGACACAGACAGATGCTTTATCTGGCCGGCCCCAGCCTAAGGCAGCCAGAGAATGGGGGTGCAAGAGATGACCTCTGCATTCCTGTTCTCCTCACTTTTGAAGAACTTGACCATTGGCTCTAATCAAGAAGCCTTAAGCAATTTATTCACCAAGAATCAGGTTCATGGCAAAATGGACATTTGTAAAGAAAAAGTTTACTCACCCCTTGCCCCAGACAGGCCAATGCGGGAATCACTTTCTCCTGGGCAATGCACTGCAGGATCCGGGGGGCTCCATAGAGGCCCCCCATACAGGAGGCCAGAGATGAGATGTATAAGCCCAAAAGGAACAGGAAGCCCACTAAGGACACCTATATGAGAAAGCAGTTTTATTACCTAAGGCCAGACTCTGCTTCTGTTCCTTTCTGCTCCCCTGGTCCGTAGACTGGCAGGATTCTTGGGTGGAAGTGACAAAGATGTTCATGTCATAGTTAGTTGAACTAGACTAACCTACCCACCTACACCCCATCTTATGATAAGTCCTCTAGTTCAACCTCTTGGTCATATTTCCAGTGTCAGTCCCACCCACTTCATTCACACTGCTACCATTTCAATTTGGACCACCATCACATCTTGTCTGGACTACACAGAGGTTCCTAAATTGAGTGTGCACCGACTCATCTGCAGGATTTGTGGGTTTGTGAAAACAGATTTCTGGGTACCACTTCAGAGTTTCTGACTCAATAGGTCCAGGGTAGGACCCATGAATTTGTAGCTTTTGTTGTCTTTTGTTTATGATGGTTTTTAAAAAATCTGTACTCTTGAAAGTATTACATAAGTCCCCTTTTCCTCCCATTGACCCCTTATATCCCATCTCCATCCCACCCCAAGCCTTTACCACCCTATTATCTGTGTCTATGGGTTATGCATATATGCATACAAGTTCTTTGGTTGATCTCTTCCCTCCCATCCCCATCTTCCCTTTGAGATTCCACAGTCCGTTCTATGCTTATATGTCTCTATATCTATTTTGTTCAACAGTTTATTTTTGTTCATTACATTCCACATATGAGTGAGATCATGTGATATTTGTCTTTCTCTGACTGGCTTATTTTTCTTAGCATAATACTCTCCAAGTAGGACCCAAGGATTTGGATTTCCAATAAGTTCCAGGTAATGTTGATGCCAAGGCTCTGGGGACTTCACTTTGAGAACCACTGGCCAACAGCAATGCCAATTGGCCTCCTGCCTCTAAGCAGTGCCCAACTGAATCAACCCCAAGCCTTTGTGAGAGTTACCCCTCTAAACTCAAATCTGATATTCATTCCCCTGCTGCAAAAATATCAATGACAATTGGAAGATGGCTGCCGACAGGAAGGCAAGCTACAAGATAGTGTGTGAGTGAGAGAATGAAAGAAGAGAGTGTGGGTGTGTGGGGAGTGTCTATTTGTGAGTGAGGGACAGCTATATTCCAAGGGACTGTTGGAAACTGACAGACTGGGTTCTCCTGACTGGGAAGCCTCTACTACTGCTGAAATATCTTCTAAAGTGGCCGGCTCTGGGTCATGTGCGGCCAGGCCCGGAGCAGCGGCTGCCAGGCTGGGAGCGGCCAGGCCCGGAGCAGCAGCAGCCAAGTCCAGAGCAACTAGGTCGGGACCGGCAGTGACCAGACCCGGACAGCTGGTTGTGGAACGAACCAGAGCAACAGAGGCCAGGGCCTGAGCGGCCAGGCCCGGAACAGCTCGCTCCTCACCTGCACCTGCCCCACGGCTGCCTCTCAGACATGGCTGGAAACTTTCGTGGGAACTTGAGGGTCTGCTGAATCAAGTGATGAAGGCTTAGATCTGGATGTGTTGAGTTAGTATAGGGCTGGGGTATTGATCTGTGAGTGCCTTGGGTGGGGCCTGGATGAGGCTATTTGACCTATTGGGAAATGTCTTTTGTGTGAAGTGTATCATTGGGCATGTGGAGGTATTATTGATATGAGAAAATGCTAAGTAACTGACTTACTATCTGAAAAGGGATTTACTATCGGGGAAAGGGAGGGAAGAAGAGACTGAACATAAACTGTGCACCTATGGATGAGGACAATGGGGGATGGGGAGGGGGCGGAGGGTGGGGTGGGAACCTGGTGGAGGGGGGAAGAAATGAGGAACCTTTGTAATAATATGAACAATAAAGATTTATTTAAAAAATAAAATAAAAAATAAAAATAAAATAAAAAAAATAAAGTGGCCGGCTCTGCCGCAGAAATCACACAACCTTGAAGGGGAGAGCGGCTATGATCAGAAGCCTAGCCTAACCTTCAACTGGGAAGAACTCAGATACCTCCCGGAACCCTATAATCTCAATACCCAGGGACCAGCTGCAAACCCAAGAACACCGGGTCTCAAGCAGCGTGAATACATGGACACAGACGAGTCCTGCAACTTCTCATGGAAAGGTCAAATATTGCCTACAGAAAGTCAACATAGGAGAGAGAGCTACATAACCAGACACCTGGAGAGGAGAGATCATGGGGAGACAAAGAAACTACCCACATATAAAAGAGGCATCACTAGAAAAGGAAGTAAACAAAATGGAGGAAAGCAATCTGTCAGAGAAATAATTCAGAGAAATGATCATAAGATAGCTGAAAAGGTTAGAAGACAAATTCAACAATATGTGTAAAAAACAAGAGGAAATGAACCAAGAAGAAATGAAAAATGGCATCGCTGCAATAAGAACTCAATAGAAAGCATCAACAGTAGACTAGAAGAGGCAGAGGACCGCATCAATGAGCTAGAAGACAAGATGGAAAAAATACCCAAGTAGAGCAGCTTCTAGAAAAAACAAATTAAAAAGCAGAAGAGCCTAAAGGAACTTTGGGACATGAAACAAAACAACATCTGCATAATAGGGGTGCCAAAAGGAGAGAAAACTGAGCAAGGAATAGAAAACCTGAAGAAATAATGATAGAAAACTTCCCTGATATAGGGAAGGGGAAAACCACACAAGTCAAAGAAGCTCAGAGTTAAAAAAAAAAAAAAAAATAGAACCCCCAAAGACTGACGCCAAGGCACATTATAATTAAACTGGCAAACACCAATGACAAAGAAAGAACCTTAAGAGCAGCCAGAGAGAGACAGAAAGTTACCTACAAAGGAAAACTGTCCTTATTCACAGATGATATGATACTATACATAGAAAATCAGACTAGTGACTGATTTCTCAACAGAAACACATCAGGCCAGAGAGAATTAAATAAAATATACAAAGTCATGCAAAGGAAGGGTCTGAATCCAAGAATACTGTACCCAGAAAGGCTATCAATCAAAATTAGGAGTCAAATCAGGAGCTTCACAGACAAAAAGGACTAAGGGAATGTGTTACCACCAAACCAACAATGTAATAAATGCTAAAGGGTCTGCCATAAAAAGAAGAAATAGGAAGTGAAGAAGAAACACAGGCAAAAAAATAAAAATGGTGACAAACAAGTACCTATCAATAATAACTTTATTTTATTTTTTAAAATATATTTTATTGATTTTTCACAGAGAGGAAGAGAGAGGGATAGAGAGTTAGAAACATCGATGAGAGAGAAAAACACTGATCAGCTGCCTCTTGCAACACTCCCTACTGGGGACATGCCTGCAACCAAGGTACATGCCCTTGACTGGAATCGAACCTGGGACCTTTCAGTCCACAGGCCGATGCTCTATCCACTGAGCCAAACCGGTTTCAGCCATAATAACTTTAAATGTTAATGGACTAAATACCCCAATCAAAAGACGTACGGTAGCTGAGTGGATAAGAAAATATGACCTATATATCTTCTGTCTATAGGAAACCCACCTCAGAACAAAGGACTCACACAAACTGATGATGAAGGGATGGAAAAAGGTTTTTCAGGAGAATGGAAATGAAAAAAAGCTTGGGTAGCAATATTTATATTATATCTGACAAATTAGACCTCACAGTGAGGGTCATAACAAGATATAAGGAAGGCCACTTCACAATACTAATGGGAGCAATTAAACAAGAAGCTATAACTCTGGTAAACATATATGCACCCAATACAGGAGAACCCAAATACATTAAAACACACACACACACACACACACACACACACACACACACACAAAACAAAACAAAACAAAACAAAAAAAAAACCCCTTCTGGAGTATATCAAGGGAGAGATTGACAGAAATACAGTCATAGTAGGGGACTTTAATACCCCACTAACACCACTGGACAAATCCACTAAACAACAAATGAGCAAAGAAACATCAATCCTAAATGATTCACTAGATCAGATTTAATTAATTGACATCTTCAGAACATTTCACCCCAAAGCCACAGAATATACATTCTTCTCAAATGCTCATGGGTCATTTTCAAAGAAAGGCCATATATTGGGACACAAGCAAAGTCTCTTCAAATTCAAGAAGATAGAAATCATATCAAGTATCTTCTCACATCACAATGGCATAAAACTAGAAATCAACTACAATAAAAACAATTAAAAAAAATCAAACACCCGAGGCTAAATAGCATGCTATTAAACAATGACTGGGTTATCAAAGAGATCAAAGAAATAAAAAGCATCATGGCAACAAACAACAATGAAAACACAACAATCCAAAACCTATGGGACACAGTGAAAGCAGTCTTGTTAGGGAATTTTATAGCTCTACAGGCCTACCTCGAAAAACAAAAACAATGGTAATAAATTATTTAACCCTACAACTCAAAGAGTTAGAAAGAGAGCAATGAGAGAAGCCCAGCATAAGCAAAAAGAAGAAAATAATAAAGATCAGAGTGGAGATAAATGACATACAGACAAAAAAAAAAAAAAAAAAATCAACAAAACCAAGAGCTGGTTCTTTGAAAGGATAAACAAGATTGATGAACCTCTAGCCAGACTCACCAAGAAGCAAAGAAAGAAGACCCAAATAAACAAAATCAGAAATGAAAGAAGTGAAGTAACAACCAATCCCATAGAAATACAAACTATTATAAAAAAAAAATACTATGAACAAATCTATTCCAACAAAATGGATAACCTAGATGAAATGGACATATTCTAAGAAAAATACAAGCTCCCAAAACTCAACCAAGAAGAATAAAAAAAAAAAAAACCTGAATAGGTTGATAACTACCAAAGAAATTAAAACAGTGATAAAAAATCTTCCAGCAAACAAAAGCCCTAGTCTGGACAGCTTTACAGGGGAGTTCTACCAAGCATTCAAAGAAGAACTAAAACCTATCCTTCTCAGACTATTAAAAAAAAAATTCAAGAGGAAGGCACACTTCCAACTTCTTTCTATGAAGCCAGCATTACCCTAATCCCCAAACCAGATAAAGATACCACACACAAAAAAGAGAACTA